TTTTAAAGTCTGTGCCCAAGCAGAGAAACACAGGTTCCTTTCCAGACAGAAGAGAAAGCAGCTATTTACTTGTCTCCTATGCAAATTAAGCTGGTGCAATCAAAACAATGGAAGCCCTATTTACATAATGGGAGACGGGAAGCCCACAGGAAGGGAAACTGGATGAGGTCATCCTGCTTCCTGAAACAACATCATTGAACACTGGAAGATATAAGCAAAGGCAGAAGCCACATCTGGCATCCATTACAAGACAAGCACAAGGGAACACAGCTCTTGCAAGCTGAGGAAAATGGGCTCTTCAACTAAGGGAGGTTCAAGGCTCTGCAAACTGAATATAGGTGAGAAACCTGCTTAGATTCTCATGAAACCACATGAGTCCAGGAGTTGGAGCTTTAAGAAAAACCCATCAAATATTGTGAGAATTGCAATATAATCATGGCAGTTGGCAAGAATGTAGTCCTGGCCAAAACAGGACATCTGGCAGTTGTGGAAATTTGTTCTAGGAGAGATCTGAGTCAGTGTAGGCTGGTTTGTCTCTATCTAGGTACTTTATATCTGTGCATCTGATTAGGCACACAAGGACTGGAAGGAAAATGCAAGAATAAAGGTATAAATGAACGATGGCACAAAGAAATATTTTTTTTGTACCTCTTGTCTGACCTCCTTTCTCTTTCTTAGTGTGCCTGCTGGAGGGAAGGCTTGTGGGGTGCATAGTAGTACTACCAACCCCACATATTCAAAAATCATGCGCCAGGCAGTTACTTTTTTTAAAATCCGGGGGAGTTTTAAATATATTTTGTTTGTTTTTATTTGCCTTCTGCTTGAGCCGTCAAGGGTGCACTTGAGTCATATTTTCAAAATTTTCCTCTTCATAAAGGGCTGAAAAACGTACTCAGAGAAATCCGAGATTCTCACTTTATTGCACGAGACCAAAAATTGTGCCTTCAGGAAAAAACACCAAATTTCATGGGACTCACAATAAAATCTCAAGAGTTGGCAGTACGGGCATAGGGATAATGACAACTTAGTTTAGGGTCCCCAAATTAGGTATTGATTTCTTTTAAAGGGGTGGAAGGGAAAGTTACAAAGCCTAATAGGAGAAGAGGAGAGGTGTTTGAATTAAAAACAAACCCAATAATCAGTTCAGAAAAAGGTATGTTTTAATCTAAACATTCAATGGAGATATCTCATCTCCTAGAACTAGAAGGGACCCTGAAAGGTCATCAAGTCCAGCCCTCTGCCTTCACTAGCAGGACCAAGTACTGACTTTGCCCCAGATTCCTAAATGGCCCCTTCAAGGATTGAACCCTGGGTTTAGCAGGCCAATGCTCAAACCACTGAGCTATCCCTCCCCCCATATTAATGGGATTATATAATGAGGTTGCCGGTGCTAGCAGGGGACTTGAGTTGATGATGTTCCTGGAAATCTCTTCCTATCCTGTGTTCCTAAACCCAGTCACAGGAGCCTTGCACCCATGAGTAAGAACCAAAAAGCACAACTGTGTAGGCGCAAAGGGAATTCTAACACACTGCTGCAGTTTCATTCTCTATGCTCAGTGAAGTCCAAAAAAATCAAGTGAAGAACATCAATGAAGGGAAGTACATTTTATTTTTAACACGCTTTTGGTGGTAATAATCCCCAGCGACAGAGGCCAAGGAAAAGGGAGGATTTTGACTCCATTGCTCTGAAATGTCCCTGGGCATACTCAGTCTCTCTCTGGGCACGAGATGGCCCTGCAGGGGGCATGAAGACTCCTGCAAAGCCAGGAAAGGACTTCAGGGCAGCAGAGTGAAGAGGAAGCCTAGGGGAAATGTTGGTTGTAGCCGTGTGGACTCACCCCTGCGGCGCCTCCTGCTGATTGTCTCTGGGAATTAGCTCATCCAGCCTCCCGAGCGCCCTCTGTAGGCCGGTGTCCTGCTGCCGCTTGGCCCCCCGTGTCCCTCCCAGACCCAGTGCCCCGTTATCTGGAGTGCTGCCCCCTGGCAGTAACTCCTCACTCTCAGGGTCTCCCCTCCCTGGGGAACCCCCACCCCTCTATCCCCACCTCGCCTCAGTATACAGCTACTGCCAGTCATCGTCTAGCCCCACGCCCTGGGGCAGACTGCAGTATAAGCCACTCATCACAAGCAAGGTTGGGTTTGGATCTGCTGCTAGGGTGACCAGACGTCCCGATATTTAGGTGTTTGTCCTGCGTCCCGACCGAACTTTGGTCAGGACGCAATTTGTCCTCATATTTCGCTCCACCAGCAGGTTTTTTTTTTTTGCCCCGCCCGCAGACACCCCCCCCCCCATGTGTCCCAATATTTTCTTCCTCTCATCTGGTCACCCTACCTACTGCCTCTGCCTAGCCTTGAGCTGTCCCCAGCAACAACCAGTACCTGTTTGGCCTTCTACTAGGCCACAGCCTGGGGGGTTTCCAGGCCAGAGCTCCCCAGCTCCCTTGGCCTTCCCCCAGCCCTGCTCCACTCCAGGTACCTTCTCTAGCTCCCTGCAGCCAGGCCTATGTCCCTCTACAGCAGTGGTTCTCAACGCGGTGCCCGCGGGCGCCGTGGCACCCACCGGGGCATTTATGTGCGCCCGCCTAGTGCCCAGCAGGAGAGAGAAGTGCGACCCCGCACCTGACAGGGACAGAGAACTCAGGCTGTGGGTGCGGTATTCTCTGTTCCCGGCAGCCAGGGGCCCACCTAGTGCCCAGCAGGGGAGAGAAGCCGGGGCCCCACGCCTGCTGGGAACAGAGAACTCCGGGGCTGCAGGCTGCGGGCGCTGGTGTTCTCTGTCCTTGCGGCTTCTCTCTGGATTCATATATTATGTAATATTAAATATGATGTTTTTCATATTATTTAATGTACAAATACAAAATAAGTCTTGAAAAATTGTTGGTACCCGCCACACTCTTCTGAACATATGAATGTGCTACTGGCCACAAAACGGTTGGGGACCACTGCTCTACAGGAAACTGTGTGTCTGCCGCTGGCTTCCCTGTCTTTTATAGGGCCAGCTGAGTCTGTTTGGGGTATGGCCACAGCCGAGGCTGCCTCCCAATCCGCTCAGCCTAAGGCTCCCAACCCCAGCCTTCTCCAAGGGTTGGCTTTTAACCCCTTTTAGGACAGGAGTGGGTGACCACCCCGCTACATTGGTCTTGAGAACCCCTTTCCTCCCACCATACAGAATGCTGACCAGAGGTCAGGAGAACCAGGGAGTAGCCAGCACGGTGGAGCAAGCTCCAGCAGTGGGCCTTTATAAAAGGGCAGGGTCTGGATCTCCAGGGAGAAAGTTCAGGGATATGTTTAACTGGGGAACAGAGCAGAGGGGAAACTTAAGAGGGATGACAGTTCAAGCGAGAGGAGGGAAGGAGTGGTTTTAATTTACTTTTTTTTCCATTTAGGATTTGTTGGGAGACTGCGGGGGCAAGTCTTGTGAGTCCTTGCCCTGAAAGAAGGGTGACCCTTAAGAGGTCATGGAGCCTGGGAAGAATACAGGCACACAGTGGGCCCCGAAGGGTCTGTGGGAACAGCCTGTGGACAGGCTGAGGGAGGCAGAAGCCCAGGGTGCAAGCAGGAGGCCTGAATATGCAGACCTGGGTTGCTCACAACAGAGGAACTGGAATGGAACCAGAGAAGAGGGAAGGCCTGGGTTTCCCTACTAGCCACTGGAAAAGGTGATGCAAAGACCATGGACACCAGGGGCGGAAGGACTAAGGAGTCTGGACTTGATCAAAGACGCAACGTGAGGCTATTGGACTTTTGTCTCGTTGGACTAAAAGTGACTTGGCCAGAGGGCTGAGTAGAAAGAAGAGGCTGATGACCGCAGGGCTGGAGCAGCGGCCATCAGGGGGCATTAGATGAGGAGAACCTGTTGCATTGTGCCCAGCTATGAGGAGGCACATCAGCAGTGAGTCCACTCAATGACACCTGTCCTCCATTTTGGATCTCTTTTCGCAAACAAACACTGCACCTGGTCCAGGGAGCAGCAATAAGCACCTAAGGAAGGAAGCAAGGTCTGCACGAAATATGGCTGCCAAAGTAATTTTTCTCACCTGCTACTATGACGGTCTTAATGGCTGTTTTAAAGTCCTTCACTGGCTCCATATTACTCTGCATATTAAGTTCAAACTTTTTTGCCAATACCTTTGTAATGATACCTTCACTTGCAATACCTTAATCATCCATTAGATGTCTCTGTGTGCTGCATAGAATTCCAGACAACCTGTGGTCCCTGGTAAACAAGGGAGACAAAGCTGGAGCTCAAGTTGCGTGGAAGCCTGTTTGTAGATATAATTAGTTTCCTTAATAAAAGCCTCCTGTTTAAGATGGACTGTGATTCCACATATCAAGATAGCCTTCAAGATTGTACACTCCTTAGCTCCCTTTGACATTTCTTGGTCTGTTTTCCCCCCTTCATCTCTTCTGCTCTGCTAATGAGATATTACTACATCAGGCAGATATTACTAACCTCCATTTTAATCTGTTTATTTTAGTATCCTTTATAGCTCTGTGAGTTTTGTTTTTTACTGTTCACTTGTGTCTGCAAAGAAAAAGTGGGTAGAAAGGTTTAAAAGATATTTTTGTATCTGAATCTACCGCTGTTTGTTGACCTGAATCTCTTCAGCATTTTTGATGAGTTGAGTCAGGCATATTGATTTCTCTAGTTCCTTTTGTCAGTGCTTCTCTTCTTAATAGGCAATGACTCAGCCACTTGTTTACATGAGCAGAATGTATTGTGGCAGGGCTGGGGGGTGCGGGGAATTAAAGAAACCATGTTTAAGTTGAGAATTCCTGTGCATTAAGGTTGTTGCATCACTTTGAGAATCTTGAGAATGTTGAAACAGCTTTTCCTTCCATCCACTGTCCTACAGGGAAATACAAACATTAACCATCTTAGTGCTGCCTCACACCCGGGTACAGGGGACAGGAAGAAAGGGAGAAACCGCTCTTCACTGCTGCTCCAGGGTTGCTACAAAGATCCTTGCTACATTCTACTGCCACAGAATGGCTGCCGCAGAGTCCTTCTAAGAAAATGTAATTGCTTCAGGTCACTGTGTGATTCGCGTGCTGCTGAGTCAATACTGAGCCAGTGTCTCACTAGGGTGGGTGGGGAAAGTTATGCTGAAGGAAGTGTCTTTTTTGGTAAGTTGTAGAAGCGAAGTCCTACTCAGCTGAGCTCATTAAATAATGTCCAAGGCACCAGCTCATGAGAGTGGAGGTGTTAAGACCAGTGCTCCAGACCATTTCTAACATTCTCTGTAACCAAATTCACCCGCCAGTGTCAATTACATAAGGAGTTCGTCTTCATTGCCTGTCCTAAATGATTGTGTAGTGTTCCTGTGCAGTTAAATGCCTGTTCCGTTTCACCCCAGACGTGGCTGCATTTCAGAAGCAAGTACAATGATAGACATCTGTGCATCAGTTTTTTCAGTATCTCATGAGACTTTGGGATGAAGGCTGCTATATAAATGCAAGCTATAATAACTAACCCCCGCAGAAAATGTGCTTTGAGAGAGTTTTTCTTGTATAATACAAGGAGTAGAAAGGGCACGGCTAGCCTCCTAGTTACATTGTACATTGTTCAAAATTCAAAATACCCAAGTTCCTCTCCAAGGGTAAAATTCCCTGGGGAGGATGGGAAAGGGGAGTTGAGAGATTTACGTGGTGCTAGGCCTTTTGAAATGGCCTTCTGCACAGGGAAAGATTTCACCGTAAGCTGTTATATGCTAAAGATCGCTTTCTCATCATATTTACAGATGAAAAATGAAACAATTCAAATAGGTGCTGTTACGGCTTCTGTGTGTCGGTTTTCTCCAGGAAACTGCCGGCCACTATTGCCAGAAGCTAGGGCAGAGCAGAAATAACTTACTCCGTGGGAACCCCTCCTCCCCAGAAGTCGGCCTTGTGAGGAGTTGCCTAGAGGAGGTACAAATTTACAATGGGAGCCACGATGCACTTCAAACAAATTAATCTGTTGAAATGGCTGGGGGAATAAAATTGCTAATTCATCCAGAACTCCAGGGAGGCTCATCATTCCACAGGCATGGGAAGTAGGGGTGTGGGGGGGATGCTGCAGCACCCCCAGCTTTTATGCGGGGCCACTGGCTCCATGCCCGGCCCCCTGCTCCTGGCCTTCCGCCTCACCTCCCCCAGCCTTGTGCCCGGGGCTTGGGTCCCAGCCACCGGCCCCCCTACCCAGCCGCCGGCTCCACACCCCACACTCCACTCCCCAACCCCACACCTGGGGCTCGGTCCCAGCCACCGGCCCTGCTCCCTGGCCGCTGGCCCCACTCCCGGTCACAGGGCTCTGCTCCTGGCCCTGCATGTGTGGTTCCAGCTGCCGGCCCCTGCCCAGGGCTCCGCTCTTGGCCCCACGCACTCCCCCAGCTGTGACCACATTCTTGGACTCCTTAGCCCTGTTCAGGTCCTCCCCTCCCAGAGACACAGCCCTGCTTCCAGCCTCAGCTGGGGGTGGGGCACGGACAGAGGTAAGGGGGCTGGCTTTCAGCACCCCCACTACTAAAAATGTTTCAGCACCACTGCATCATTCACCCATGTCAGAGTGATGATAAAGATCATAGGCTTTGTGGGACAAAAAATTGCCTGCAGTCTGCTTCTTGGAATACCTATCTGGTCATCTACTGCTGTCAGCACCATGATGTCCGAGCCCCTTATGCCAAGCATACCGTATGTCAGACACTAGCAACTCCAACTGCCTCTCTGCTACCAGAAATATGTTAATTAATGGTAAAAACCAAACAAAAGTACAAGTGTAAACCCTGGAGCGCAGTTCTGGAATGGCTTAAAAGAAAAGCTCATTGGCTCAGTCAAAATAATCTCTCATGTTACAGGGGGGGCTTTTGAATGGGGGCGGAGAGTGGATGTTCAGTGCGCCAGGCCCCACATGAACTTGATGATTAGGAGCAGCAGAGAAACTGGCCTGCCTTCAACATGTCAGTGAAAGGCCAGGCTAGCTGCCTGATGAACTCCGAGGAAAGACGCCTACAACTGAGAAATAAACAGCAATATCCATGTCTATTCTTTAGAACAAGACTGTGAACTTCTTCTGGCCAAGACTGCATGAATCTGTCTGCCCTCCTGGTAGAGTATGAGGAACTGAGACACCTTCTCAGAAATGTCTTCTGGCTTCCTCTTAATAGCGTTCACTGTTATTACAGTACAGTCTAAGCACTGGATAGACACACAGAAGACCGCCCAGGCCCAAAGAGCTCACTAGCCAGGTGTCAGACAGGGATGCCCCAAGCGGACAAAACAGACAAAGGCAGCAGAGGATGAAACAAGTTTAGCAGAGAAGTGGAAGGCTTGGCTCATGGCTGGCCTAGCAACACTTGACAAGCAAGACTGGTAGGCACTATGGCAGAGGAAACACCATGCCTCTTGACTTCTACTCTCTCAGAAACCATGCCCACAGGGAACAAGGTCCTGTTCTAGATAGGATTTTATACTGTCCTCCTCACCATGTGACCCTAGGAGCCCCTCAATGCCAAGTGGCAGAGGGTCCACTATACTGTAACTCATCAGGCCTGACACACTCAACATAGTGTTGTCAGAATATTTCTCTCAACGGTGCCTTGTAAGGTATCACGAAAACTGGGGACATGCAGGTCATGAATATCATTGCATTATGTATGTATGGGTTGAATATAAAGAGTTATGTGCGTGTCCGTGAAATGTTCTTAAAAAGGTGTTTGGGGGACTGTGAGGCTCTGTACTTCAGGGGAACACTCTAAACCCCCATGTTTATTTTTATAAAATGATTGTGTGGTATCCAATGCAAAGTTTGTCATGTTGGGTATCTTCGGAAGGCTCATGAAGCCTTCTACTCTCTCAGAAAACTGAGCATGGTTGTTATAGCGATGTTATAGTAATTGTTACATGAAATTATAACCTATAACCAGGGGTGAAAGTAAATTAAAGGACTTACCGGTATGCTGGAGTTCTGAGCAGGGGTGTGGCCTCAACCAGAAGAGGCGTGGCCTCACTCGGAAGAGGAGGGGCCTTTAAATCACCCCTGGAGCTACCTGCTGCAGAGGTGGCTGGGAGCCCCTGGGGCTCAGGGCTTCGGCAGCAGGGCTCGGGAGGCAATTTAAAGGGCCCTGGGCTCTAGCTGCCTGTTACCTGCCAGGCAGCGGCACCTGCTAAAAAGGGCGAAGAAGGTGCAAGGGCCAAGGGGAAGTGGCCCAGGGACAATAGGCAGACAAGGGGAGAGAAGGAGAGCAGAGAGAGGCTGCTGTTAGAGGGTCCCTGGGTCAGGACCCAGAGTAGCGGGCAGGCCTGGGTCCCACCCCGCCCTTCCTCCTTAGGCCGCACCTGGCCACGGAGGAGCTGGAGAGCAGAGTGTGTGTTGGGACCTGCCGGCTCAAGCAGGAGAGCTGTGAGTGCGTGCATGTGAGAAGGACTGGGCTTCTCCAGCCAGGTATGATTGTGGGTGGGGAGCAGCGTGGGAGCACAAGGGTGGAACAGGACTCCTCTGGGCAGTGCCAGCCCTCAGAGCAGTGGAGTGGGAGACCTAGTTCCTCTGAACCATGCCAGCTTTTGCAGGAAGTCGGGGAACCAGTTCTTCTCTGCTCAGAAGAATGTGCAAAGGACCTGACTCTGGAGAGCATCAAGGCTTGCGGAGGGGTCAGAGACTCTGCTCTGGAGGATCTTTACTAATGAGTTCAAGTGGCATGGACTGAATGGTGTTCCTCCACCTCTTCCCCCAAAGCGTATCGTCCATGGAACTCCTCCCCTTTGCAAAGCCTCTGCGGTTGGCTAGCGCCATGGGCGGTCTTGCCCTTTCTCCCCGGAGAGCACAGAGCCAGTGTTAGCACACTGAAGATATTTTTGCTTTTTTACATTTTCTGGACATGGATGGTCGAGACGTCCCTGTGGGGTTCCATGCTTGCTGCTTCTCGGTGACCCCACATCAAATGGGATCAGCCTGCAGGAAAAAGGAGGTTGGTGCTGCTGACCGCTAGCCCTGCAAATGCAACACGGGCTCACAGTTGAGCCGACTTATTTCCTCTTTGGGCATCGGCAAGTGGTAAAGATTGTGCAGGCCAAGTTCTCAGCCCAGTGGCACTGCTGCACCCCCATTGCTTTGTATGGGGGGGGTTGCCCAAATGTATCTGAAGAGAGAAGACAGAGAAGAAATACCAGCTCCCCCTCCCCAAGACTTTGTCTAGATTTAAAAGATTTGCCGGTACCGCGATACCAGCAAAATTTCCTGTGTCAATGCAGCTGGTCACAGATCCACAGAAACTGGGCTATGCCTCCACTTTTATACAGAGGAACCCCTGCAGTGTGCCAGGCCCCCCAAGG